TTTTGCGGATAACCATTCCTGGGTTGGGCTGTGCTGGAACATACGGAGTATAAACTTGATTTGCCTGGTGTGGAATTGTAACTACGACTGTCGGCGACGGAGATGAAATAGCATGTTTCAATGGCGAGATTTCCTTGGATTGTTTTATTGTGCGTGTTGTTATTTCATGCTCGTCTTTCACGTCGTCGTCATCGGGTTTAAATTCAGAAACCTTTTGTTTTCCCATTTCCAATAATTTAGGTAGATCAACTGCATCTTGGAGATTTCCTGGTGGCAATTTACCATCCAAACTTTAAGGAGACGAACATCTTTTAATAATTTGCTGCGTCCTTCTAACCCAACGTACTTTTGTGGGAAGAGTCGTTGCAAGCATGGTTTCAGAACACTGGGTTGTATTTTTAGCTATGAAAGACTTCACAGACTGTAATTCCCCTTCTAATGCTTTCATCTTGTCTTTCACGTTCTTTATTTCTTTGTCGTTCTGTGAAATTGAGAAGAAATAAATTAAGAAAATAAACTACTAAAATTTACTAAGCCCATTTGAAGTGCGAACGAAAAAAATGTTTGCTACGAATGTCCAGACTACGAATACAGTTAAAAAATTAAAATTATTTGTGGTGGTGTTTTATTATTAGCCATCACCACTGTACATAAAGTAGGCGTGAAAAATACGAATTAAATCATTCTATAAATATTTCGTAGCTTACTTGACGTAATGCTTCTGAATGTTCCCGGTGTTTATCTAACCGACCTCAATACATATAACCAGCACATGGTTCATAACAACACTCGCGACGGTTTCTGTTCCCACTTTCTTTGTGTCCTTTATGGTGACATAAATTGCATGTAGCGTCAATAGCTCGATTCCTGGTAGTGCAAGTGTGGCTAAAGGTGGTGGCGGAGTCTTCAAATCTGTCCACTCACGTTCAAGTACAAACTTGCTTTGTGATAATATTTCTAACTGGTCCTCCAATTCTTTTTGACTGTCAGACATAGTAGGAGCCTGTGACGGTTTCGTCTCTTTTGTAGTCCAATCGACGTCTCTTGCCAGTACTTGAATTAGAAGCCCCTAAATTACTGTGAGTCATGGCCGAAGATGACTTAACCGCCGGGGAAGTGCCGTCGACAACGTACAATTGTTCACGCATTGTACCACCTTTTAAGCGAATAGTGTCCACTATCACATCACGGTATCGTTGGTGGTAAATCGACTCGCTGTCCATCTTCGTCTATGATTTGCAGACGAATAGCCTGCATTCGCCTTAAAAAAGCAATCTGTTCACATAGATAGTCAACAAAATTTTGATGTGACATGCACATAAACTCGTCTTCTTTAACATAGATGGGAACAATTCTGTCCTCCGTGTAATACGTAAAATGTAGCTTGAAAAGATATTCAGCCATTGTCCAAAGAGCGTTGTAATAAATCAGCAATGCTGGTCAGGATTCACACTGTTCACTCTAAAAAAACGACTCGGAAATGTCTTGCGCAAACAATAAAAGACAGAATGGCGCCTCGGAGACTCAGACATGTATACATTGTATCAAAAATGTTTAGGGTACAGTTATAATGTTTTGATTAGTAGTGATAAAATCAGTGGCAATTTCATTAAGCACTTGCTCTGATGTATCAACATTTACCACAATCTGATCGTCCAAAGTTTAGTGAAAACGATTGTAAATAATAACTAAGCAAAATGAGTAAGAGTTCATGTGTGTGTCTAATAGAGAAAATATGATAGTTATGATTTGTATAATTTGTATTATTTGTGATAATTATATTATTATATAACTTTGCTTAACAGAGATCTGGTTCATCGGCAAACAGCGTGTGCAGCTATAAAACACATGGCATTGGGAGTGTATGGTTTTGGCTGTGAAGATGCACTCATACATTTACTTAACCATGTTTGGCCCAATATATTTGAAACATCACCACATGTGATACAGGCTGTCATGGATGCTGTGGAAGGACTAAGGGTTGGGCTTGGTGCAATCAAACTCCTACAGTATTCACTACAAGTAAGTCAGTATAATTTACACTAAAGGTCTGTAGCTATGCTGAATGACTAGTAAAACTGGTTCATATATGCACAGTAAGCTAATTGGTTTCAGATTATTTGCTAATGACATGACAGTGTTTTATACTGTTGGTGCATAGCAAGTGGGATATCAATCTTGAGCAAGAACGCACAGTGTAGTTAAAGTAAATTAGGCACCACATCAAGCATGCACCTATCCAGTTCTATCAAGGTGCTCAGTGATCTTTCCAAAAATTTTAGCCACTGTGGCATTACAAATTTACATGCTAATTTACATAATTTCAAACAGGAATTGTGATGATTAACCTGCTCAATTGCACAAAATTATTGATTAACAAAACTGTTATTGTGCCAAGAGTGTTACTATACACACAAGTTTTAAGTTTTTAGCAACTTATTAATTTGATTTAAAAAGCAAGTAATGGCACTGAATTATACACTCATTGGCTTCTCTTTTGTTATCACTGTACATGCAAGTCATCACTCTTGAGCGTTTTTTAACTGATGTGCACCAATAACATAAATGTTGTTTGATGGAAAATTATAATTTATACATGTACCGTAAAATACCTCATATAAGCCCCACTTTGATACATTTTCATTTCTGTCTGGTGCTAATTTGAGGTCACATTTTGGCAACTTTGTTGCAAATGGCGCTTAGTTGAGGTCAGTAATTTTTTCACACACTCAGAACTACGGTAACGTTACCTTACAATCAGAGGAATCCTGTCTATACAATGTGCCGGATTCTGCCGTAAATTCGCCCTTGGCCGTTAAACGGCAGTTTGGTTTTTAAAATAAAATGAGACCAAGAAATCACGTTTTTTTTTTAAATATTTCGGCTTCTTTTTTTGGACATTTAAATAACTCTGGACACCTATTCAAGAGAATGATTTTTATCGTGACTAACGTGAATTGGTAAGCTTCGTTTCGACAATGAGCTGTTATCACTGTAAACAATGTTAAATTATTCTTCAAATGCTCAGTTTATCTTTCCAAAACAAATAATTTCTTGATTTAAAAAAAAAATCATGCCGTTTTCCCATGGAAATCGAAGCCAAAAGATCGCACTACATTAGCGGTAAATCTCTTCCGCGTTGTGTTTACCATGAGGTCGCTGAACTGTCATTAA